CAAATTGTGATGTCTAGACGACTGGGTCAGAACATCTCTAAAACTGCAGCTCTTGTGGGGTGTTCCCGGTCTCCAGTGGTCAGTACCTATCAAAAGAGGTCCAAGGAAGGAAAAGCAATAAACCGGCAACAGGGCCAAGGCTCACTGATGAGAGGGAAGGCTGGCCTGTGTGGTCTGATCCAACAGACGAGTGACTGTAGCTCAAACTGCTGAAAAGTCCACTATAAATGACACATACAGTATTTCTCAGCACATTAAACAATCCAGGGTATATTGTATTGTGATTTAGCTCATATTTTTCCATCAGCTCAATACACCTAATGACACCAATTACTACCTAATACCCATGAGATTCAGCACTCATTACCATCGAGAACAGACTATCTAGAGTTACAAAATCAAAGAGTTTTTTTTAACCTTTATCTACACCGTCTACATAAGTCAGTTATGATATGTAACCTGACATTAATTTTAGTCTGCCTACCACAGTGGTCCCCCTCCTGTTAAAGTCCCTCTTGTGCTCCGCTTTCTTGTCTTTCTTTAGCTGTTCCTGTCTAATAAAACCTCCCCAAAATAGTCAAATAAAACAGTGCTCCTTAAAATTATCACTTACAGCGCAAACTTTTTTAAAATTCTCTACATGTGCTTGTAGTTTGTATGAAATTTGCAATATGTTGAATATATTGTACGCTGCCATCTGTTATAATTACATACTGGATTACAAGAAATCAGACGCAGTTGTAAGATACTGAGATCAGGATATGATCGTGTACTTACTGTAAGATGGGAATTGTTATGCTAATTTCTTGTTGTTATTTTTATATTAGCCCATTGTTGGTCTGAACAGAAAGGGGGCGGATAGGTAGTCATGATAGCCTACGGTGAATTCCTTTCTGCATCTGACATAATGATCTGCTGGAAAGTTCACGTGCAATGTACAACAGTCTTTGACAAACCAGTATGCATTCTTCTTGTGGTTGCACAGTGCGGGAATAACCACACTGCCAATCAGACACTGCCCATACTGCATTTTCCAGCATATGTCACTCAAAAAAACATTACTCAACATTCTGAGTAAAAGCAGCACGTAGATGACACTTCTATGTTTCATATAAGTGAGGTCTAATGGATTTCCTTTCAGATAAAAGTGTGAAAATGTGCATCTGTTTTTTTTAAATAAAATAATGTTTTTAAACAATCCTTTTAAAGAACATTGACAAAGTGTTCAAATAATTTTTCATTTAATTATGACACACACACACACACA